ACTCCTTGTTCTACTACTTTCGCCTCTCCTCACTACTATACTTGACTAGTCTTAAGAAGAAAAAAAAACAATTGTATTCTTTACAGAAATCTTTTAAAAGCCTAAAATTTATATGAAAGTAGAAAATATTCCAAATAGCCAAAGGAATCCTAAGCAAAAAGAACAATCCTAGACACATCACAGTACCTGACTTTAAAATTCACTTAAAAGCTAGAGTAGCCAAAATAGCATGGTACTAGCATAAAAAATGGATAGATCTGAAGGATATTATGTTAAGTGAATAAGCCAGGCAAAAAGGCAAATAGTGTATGGTTGTACTTGTTTGGAATCTAAAAAAAAAAAAAAAGAAAGGGGTTGATATCACATAAACAGAGAGTAGAACAATAGTTACTAGAGATCACGGAAAGGGGAGGGTGAAGTGAGATTTCTCAATGGGCACAAAATTATAATTTTGCAAAATTATAGAAGATGAGGCAAGTTTTGATTTTCTACTTCATAGTAAGAGGACAATGGTTAACAGTAAGATATTGTATATTAGTTTGAAATTTGAAGACCAGCTTGTGTTCTTATCACAAAGAACTAATATGCATGAAGAAATAAACACTATGATCTTATCGTTATATAAGATATCTGTAAAACTTTAAACTGTACCCTATAAATATGCACAATTAGGCCGGGCGAGGTAGCTCATGCCTGTAATCCTAGCTCTCTGGGAGGCCGAGGCGGGCAGATTGCTCGAGGTCAGGAGTTCGAAGCTAGCCTGAACAAGAGTGAGACCCCGTCTCTACTATAAATAGAAAGAAATTAATTGGCCAACTGATATAGAAAAAAATTAGCCGGGCATGGTGGCGCATGCCTATAGTCCCAGCTATTCGGGAGGCTGAGGCAGTAGGATTGCTTGAGCCCAGGAGTTTGAGGTTGCTGTGAGCTAGGCTGACACCACGGCACTCACTCTAGCCTGGGCAACAAAGTGAGACTCTGTCTCAAAAAAAAAAAATCACCTTTAAATATCAAAAGTGTTTCTCTCACAAAATATTAATAATATAGTTTCAAACAATAAATACACTGTGAATTTCTGACTATTTCCTTCACTACTGCCAGCCTTAGACATGATAAAAGAATCACTGACAACCAGTGATTTTTTTTTTTTTTTTGGACATAAACCCTTTAGAAGGTCCTTTAATAGGAATAGAACTGGAGTTTTCCCACCTCCAGCTCCCAAGTCCTCCTCTCACCCCTGGCCAGTCCATGTCACCATCAGCCAGGCTTTCCTTGGGATTGCCTATGACTAGGCTGCAAGCTGTTTGCTTCAAACTGGGAGTGGAGAGAATTAGAGAAATCTGAGGCTGCTTTGTAGAAATGCAGGACCACAGACTCTGAGCCTACAGCATTAGGAGGGGGATATTAGGTAGCTCCTTGCTGTGTCCTCAGTTGCCTCCAAAGAAGAGTCTGGATGGGTTATGGAGGGACCACCATGGGGGCTACTCTTGGAGTCAAGACGCTATGGTAAGGCTTACAGCCTTAAGGCTCAAGTGCTCTCAGCTGTGACTTGGGGACCCTCTGGGATGGGATCCCAGAGTCATTTTACAGATGACCTGGTGGGTGTCTTCTGCCTAAGGGTGGGTAGGTGGCCCAGGTGCAGTGCAATCCAGTGAGGTAGGCAAAAGGTTCCATCCTAGTGCACTCTAGGGATCCCCCAAGAAAGCCCAGCATTCTTCAGAAGGACTAACCAGGACCACTATGGTGGACCCAGATGCTCCTCCTTCCACTGAACCCTGGCTCCCCCTCTGCAGTGCCCAGGCTCTGTTGTAACAGGCTGTGTCTTACACAAGGATAAGCCAACAAGGGAAATGGGGCAGAGAAATCCAACCCATGGTCTTTGCATTTAGCTGTGCACCCACAAGGCAGTACCTGTCCCTTTCTCTGAGTCTCCTGGAGGTGCTTTTTTCTAGAGACAGAGTCTCACTTTGTTGCCCAGGCTAGAGTGAGTGCCATGTCGTCAGCCTAGCTCACAGCAACCTCAAACTCCTGGGCTCTAGCGATCCTCCTGCCTCAGCCTCCTGAGTAGCTGGGTCTACAGGCATGCACCACCACGCCTGGGTAATTTTTTCTATTTTTACCATGTTTCCCAGAAAAAAAGACCTATGCATCAAATAAGCCCTAGCAGGTTTTGTAAGCATTTGTGCAATAGAAGCCCTAACCCTAAAATAAGACCTAGTGATGGGAATGGCTACACAGCATATCTGCACAGCCCATGATTTTCCTCCAGGAATGCTAAAGAAGACCAGCAGCCCTTCTCATCTCCTCCATCCTGACAGCTACTATCCCAGAGGTGACCGGAAAGGTGCAGGCAGCCCACCAACAAGGTCGGCTCCTTCTGTAAGGTCCCGGCCATCCTGTGTGTGCTGCAAGCTGAGGCTTTGAGGGGAAGGTCTCCTCAGTGAAGTGAGGAGCAGGACGCTCTGCTTTAGGTATTGTGTGTTCCCAGGGAGAAGAAGGAAAGCTGTGGCTGCCATTTTACTCAGCACTGCGGGCCTCTCTCACCCACCACAAACACCAGGGGACAGGGGGAAAGCTTCAGCAAGCAGTCTCCTACTGAGCCCAGAGAAATCATTTCTGCTCCACTGTGCAGACTGGACCCAGTGCTCACTGGATCTCCCATAAATAAGCCAGCCCTGCTCATTTAATGAGAGCTCTATTTCTCGACATGAGAGATTGGGGCCAATGGTTCTAAAGGAAATAGAGTTGCAAGAAATTCAGGATGGAATTCGGGATTTAGAGACTCATCATGATGTTCAAGAAGAAGACAACTATATTCGAATAAATGTAGATTGTTGTACCATACATAAAGGAAATAGAGTCGAAAGAAATTCAGGATGGAATTCAGGGTTTGGAGAGTTATGATGCTGTTCCAGAAGACGACTTAACTGTATTTGAATAAATGTAGATTGTTGTACCATATATAAAAAAAAATCACGTCCCCTGAAAATAGGCTCTAGGGTGTCTTCTTGAGGAAAAAGAAATATAAAACCCTGTCTTATTTTCGGGGAAACACAGTAGTTGTTGGGCTCATTTCTTTCTATTTATAGTAGAGACAGGGTCTCGCTCTTGCTCAGGCTCGTCTTGAACTCCTGAGTTCCAGCAATCCTCCCGCCTGGCCTGCCAAAGTGCCTGCCAAAGTGCTAGGATTATAGATGTAAGCCACCATGCCCAGCCTATAAATCACTTTTAATTCTAGTATAAAAGCTACAAAATGAAACTACTAAAAATAAAGACAGCTAAAATAATTTAATGAATAAACAATATAAAAAGGTATAAAGTGGCCGGGCGTGGTGGCTCACACCTGTAATCCAAGCAATCTGGGAGGCCGAGGCGGGTGGATTGCTCAAGGTCAGGAATTCGAATCCAGCCTGAGCAAGACCCCATCTCTACTAAAAATAGAAAGAAATTAATTGGCCAACTAAAAACATATAGAAAAAATTAGCTGGGCATGGTGGCACATGCCTGCAGTCCCAGCTACTCAGGAGGTTGAGGCAGGAGGATTTCTTGAGCCCAGGAGTTTGAGGTGGCTGTGAGCTGGGCTGATGCCGTGGCATGCTAGCCCAGGCAACAGAAAAAGACTCTATCTCAAAAACAAAACAAAGAAATATATGATGAATAGCACATGAAACTAGTATAAACATGGATATTGTGAATATCCACTTTAAATTTCTAATCTTCATTCTTAAAAGAAACTGTTAATTTAAACTATATGATTAGATTTTTTTTAACATTTAAAAATTAAAAATCTAATTAAATATTTAATGTTTAATATGTATTTTAAAATTTAAAGGGACATCCTTTGTACTCTGATAAAATTAGAGTCTCAGTATCTGTAATATCACCTTTGAAACCTCCATAGAATTGGAAATTAATAAAACAGAAAATATTAATATCTGACATCCATCTACAGTATTCCTTAGATTTCTAAACCAAATATGACAATGCCCACCACTACATTCACACAATTCTGACAGCACACAAAGCAGAACTTAAAAAATGGTTTAACATACAAGTAGTCATCTATATGCAGATTTTTCCAGAACTCCAAGGGAATGGATGACAAGATAGCGTAGGCCCTCGCATTCCAAGGGAAGGACTTTGGCTCTCACTGTGAATTTGATGGAGGATCAGTGAAGAGCAAAGGGAATTTTCAGATAAAATTTTTCACAGTCTTAGTGAGAATCAATCCTCAGATAATTTAAGAACACGAGAAAGAACATGTCCTTCTATGAGAGCAAGAGAAATAAACCCAGACTTCTCAAAAATTAGTTTCCTTGTGGCAGAGCTTCTGAGACCACATGTTAAGGTCTGGCTTCCTCCATGACCTTTGAACCTCTCACCTGTGTCATCTGCTGCATGCACTCCCACCTACCTAGGTGTTGGGCTACTGCATCCTCTCTCCTCACATTCCAGGACTCTTTCATTTGTTTCAAAAAGGTGACCAGGTCCAGCTTAGAGACAGCAAGTTCTATTTTATTAGAAAAGGCACATGAATTTTGTATGGGGTTCTTCAATCTTGAACTTAGTATTGTACTCAGAGGAGAAGAGACAATCTTATCAAAAACTTTAGAAAGTTATTCTCCTAAATACTATTTCCTGACGACTCCTGTAGAATATTTGGGAAGCACTTTAAACTTGTTGATCCAGTGCTTTACTTTCAAGTATGATTGAATCAACAATAAAAAGGAGAAATATGATTTTAAGGTGTGGACAATATTTTACATCACTGAATTTCTAGAGTCACCACTATGGTAGAGTGAAACTATCAAACCACCTGAAGAAAGAAAAAAAAAAAAGATGTTTTTCTTTACATTAAAAATCCCCCATTTTTTTCCCTGAAACTAGGAAACTTAACTCATTCATACAATCAAGGCACAAGCTCCCAAAACACATTCTGCAAAAAAAAGAAATGAAAGCCTTGAGGTATATTAGATATTCTGGAGGTAAGTAATTCTCACCGACAGAGACCAGGTTTCTGTAAGTCTCCAACATCACATCCCTGTACAAATTCCGCTGAGCAGTGTCCAGGTATTCCCACTCTTCTGGAGAGAAGTCTATGGCCACATCACTGAATGTCAACAGTTCCTGAAAAAATAAAATAAATAAAATAAAATACAATAAAATACATTGACCATGTAGCTGTAGCAAGAATTCTTAGGGTTCAGGTATTTCCTCTCCTCCAGAGAGAATTCTGTGTCCACATGACTGTTAACAGTCCATGAATAAAAATCAGAAATGGATAAATGAATAAATGACCATGTGACCATGGGCAGCTTTTAATTGTACCCAAGACAAAATGCGGACATTGAGACTATTGGCCCTGAGTAGTTTGTGAGTGTCCTGAATTACACAAGAAGATACATTTTAACACCCTAATATTTCTTAAGGTATTCTCCACTTATGTGGAAAGAGAATGACATAAGAGCTACAAAATTAATGGAGATACTATGTTTTTATAGAATATAAAATATAAAACTAAAACATCAACACATGAATACACAGTTTTGAGTGATATATTTACATCCTACAGAATCAGCTGTATCAATTGCTCGGAAGAAAAAGCCATGGTGCGTTAGAAGCATATTTCTCAAATTTTATTGGGTATAACAATGAACCGGAGATCTTGTTGTAAGGCAGATTCTGGTTCAGGAGATCTGGGTAAGGCCCAGATTCTGCATTTCTAACAAGCTCACCAGTGACACCAATGCCTCAGGTCTAAAAGCCACACCTTTGGAAAGGACAGATTTAGAACTCTGAGGGAAGAAATCATGAATGATGTGGAATTGAGAGTATTATGAAATATACGAACTATAACATAACAGTAAGTAAAGCAGTAATCCTTTTTGAACATTTACTGTATACCAGATGTCATTCCAGCAGTTTTTCATATATTAATGCTTAAAACCACAAAAAGAATCTATGAGAAAAAAATAATACTATTATTTTATGAGAGTATTTTGCCAATGATCCAATAAACAGCAGAGCTCGTTTTTTACCCCAGTTTATCTGACTTAGAATTTATCTCAAAGGGACATACAGGTCACTTTACACAGACAGCCCCAACTGAATGTTCACAGCAGATTTCATAACTAAGAAGAGTAATGAAAACAGGAAGGCAGAAACACAACACTGATCAAATACTTACATTTTGTACACACAGATACATAGATATGGTAACTATATACATAGTAAATGTGATAAAGTAAAACCCTTTTAAGGAAATATATTTAATTGTAAAACATTTATAAAGCTATGTTGATGATTTTTAGGCATACTATGGAGACCAGCACACACAATGATATAAACAGAAATAAAATCTTTTTTTTCAATTTTTATTTATTTAATGTGCCACATTTGTTATATTATAAAGCTTTAAGATGCTTAAATATATTACTTATATGTTAATTCTTGTTTCTTTCCTTTGAAAATACAGAGAAGTAATAAAGTAACTTATGTTTGTGATATTAGGGGAGAAAAAAAAGGAAACCTATAAGACTGAGGCCTGTTTTAAATCTCCCAATTTCAAAAGCAGTCTATCCAGTCATCAAGTATGAAAGCCTTTATTCTCCAAAGGAAGCCATAAAGAAATGGAAACTGAAAACAAAGTGGAGTTTTTGCATTAAATGAGATGGTTTATACATATCACTCAGTAAACTCCTCCAAGATGGCATTAATGACAAAGAGAAAAATACAAAACTTTATAGTGAAGGAATCTTACTGATAGCATCTTAACGTACAGAATAAAGTTACGATCCTTTGTAATGGGAAAAATTGGTATCAGGTGTCGATGAACACAGATTGGACCATAATCAGCACTGTGATATGAGTGGGAAAAATTAAACCATAATGTGAATCTAATAGATATCAGAATCTGTGGAGAGGGGACAGGTGATGGCGTGTCTTCAGGTGGTGGCCATGTGACCCTAACTGGAAGCCTGGGCTGAGAAACTCTTAGTTAACTCTTGTCTCTCAAGCATAGACATCCTTTGGGATTCCAGGCCCCACTCTATGCAACGCGGTTCTGCAGGTTTGGAAGGAGTTTATGAATTGAATTTTACAGCAAGTCCCTGTTAATGCAGGCAATGCTCTCCCTAGACCCATTATCAGTAGCACTCAGATATAGCAGGCACATCACACAGTCCCTTACACCCAACACTCTTATCATGACACAAATACTGTCATGAAAGATCACATTCTTTTGTTGTGGCCCAATTAGAGGACGGGGGATGGACACAGAACATAAAATAACGACACAGACACTCACTGACAGTACATGACTCGAGTGCCCAATTCACTGGTTGCTTTATTTTTATACCCTTTACACCCAAGGTTAGTTCCTTGTACTTGAGCATCTGAGCATAGCAGCGATAACTATTAATTTTGGAGTTGTTTCACGCGAGAACAATGGTCCAATGATCTCAGACCTCAAAAACGGTTAATTAAGGAGCAGGACATAGCTCAAAAGCCAAGGCCAAGATAAGCAACATAAAGCAATGCAGCCATCTGAAGAACTTCTTGTTCTCTTTCCCAGCCAGCAGTCCTACACCATTGTATCTGTCTTAGGTTGCCCCTACCTTGAGGAAGCTTACCCGTCATTGACTACCAACCATCTCACCCGGCAGGACCTTGGGAATCTTCTCCTTATCTTTATGGCCTCCAGACTCCCACCACGGGGGCCCACCGTGTGGGAGCTGGGCAACATTTGCTTAAGTGCAGAAACTCAGGCCTCTTATCATGTCACAAGGCAGTAACTGTCTGAAGAAAATACTGGCTACCGATGCCTCCTGCAGCAGACGTACATTACAGGCTACAGTGAATGATTAGAATAAGGCATAACGACAGAATCAGCCCCCAACTCTCTTTGATGGCCTTTCAAAGTTTACAGAATGCTGGAGAAAGCAGCAATGTTCAAGTGAGTCTACATTACCAAAATGACATGTATACATGTGTTAATGTGTACTCTGTTAATGTGTATTCTGTTAATGGGTATTCTAATGTAATCTGAGCAGGTGCCAGGTGATCTCAATTATGTTACAGAGCTCTGTGATGGGAACATCCCAGTGTGTGAGTTAATCTTCATAATACCCTGGGAGACAAATGATAAATGTCCCCAAATTCCAGGCAGCATTCAGATGAAAGACCCAGTCTTTGTACTTCCTTTCTGTTTCCCAATCACTGATTTAAAGAGGAAAATTTGTAAAATGAAAGCTATGTACAGACAGATAGGAGGCATACAGAAAGGGGTGGGATGTACTTTTAACAGTTGTTAGAGGCAAGGACCCTCAAAGACCCTCAACTCCCCTATGACTTGTCCTACGCACGGACTTCGCCCTGGAAAATTCCAGCTATAGCTCCGAGAAGAATGCAGTCCATGACATGCTGACCACGGAATGCTCCAGGATGTGTTGACTGCAAATGTTCCGGTTGGAGATGAGTAATCAGTCAAAAACAGGATACTGATAAGACACTGATTAGGGCTAATCAACCCAGACCCAAGCCTCATCGTCACCACTCTATTTTTTGTTTTGACTTCCTTGTTTTTGTATGCCTATAAAACCTACTAAAAATCTAAATAAGCAGACCTTGACAACCATTTGCTTGGTCTCGTTTCTTTCTCTCGCTCATCTCTTTCAGGCACGGTCCCCCTCGCCCCCGCGAGTAACAGAAGGTCCCGCGGGCCGGGACAAACAGTGCCTTATTTTAATTTTTAGCAGGAGAAAGCACAGACTGAGGACCCCACAGGGGAACCAGGGCCGAGCCGCACCGGCGGGGACGCGGGGCTGCAGGCACAGACGGACCTGCCCAGAGACGGCTTCGGGCAGTGCGGAGTCCTGTGAGGACCAGACCGGACCCCCGCGGTCCCGGCGGCCGTCCTTCCCCCGCCCTGTGGCCGCAGGGGAACCAGGGCCGAGCCGCACCGGCGGGGACTCCGGAGCCGACGCGGGGAGCCCCGGGAACCGCCACAGCCACTTCCAGCCTTTGCAAACCCCGCTACACTCACCGTTTCCTGGCGTCCGAGCTGTCCCGGCATCCTCCTTCAGATCTTGCGGGACCCGCAGGTCGCCTGGTGACGCCGGCCGCACCAGACACACCAGGAACTCCCACCCTGAGGAACAAGCAGCGGCAAACGCGCCTGATGAGCTGCCGCTAGAACCAAAGTCCCGGGTAGATTTGTAAGAGCCGCCCCGTCCGGTTCCGCCGCGAGCCTGATTGGACAGTTACCACGCAAGCGCTCCTGATTGGACAGAACAGCATGACCGGCCCCTTAGTTCCCTGAGTGACAGCTCTTTGACCCCACGTAGTCAAAGCTATGCCCAGAGTTTCCTCTTCCCACAGAGACCTGGCAGGGCCAGGAATATATTCACAGTTAGCCTTGTGTATATATAACGTTATATGCTTATGAATAATATATATTATATTCAAAATTAGAAGCTATAGTGACAAGATTTTTGGTTTTTGAGACAGTCTCGCTTTGTTGCCCAGGCTAGAGTGCCGTGGCGTCAGCCTAGCTCACAGCAACCTCACACTCCTGGGCTCAAGCAATCCTGCTGCCTCCACTTCCAAATTAACTGGGACTACAGGTATGCGCCACCATGCCCGCCTAATTTTTTCTATATATTAGTTTTCTATATATTAGTTGCCCAATTAATTTAATTTTAGTTATAGTAGACACGGGTCTCGCTCTTGCTCAGGCTGGTTTCAAACTCCTGACCTTGAGCGATCCGCCCGACACCGCCTCCCAGTGTGCTAGGATTACAGGCGTGAGCCACCGCGCCCTGCTGACAATAAAATATTTTAAAATTTCAGCTTTTCAGCCAGGCAGGTAAGGCTAGCAATTTGGGAGACCAAGGCAAGAGCATCACTTGAAGTCAGGAATTGAGACCAGCCTGGGTAACAGGGAGAGACCCAATTCCACAAAAAAATAGCCAGTTTGGTGGCGCATGCCTGTAGTCTCCGGTACTCGGGAGGCTGAGGCAGGAGGATCGCTTCAGCCCTGGAGTGTGAGGTTGCTGTGAGCTAGGCTGACGCCACGGCACTCTGGCATGGACAAAACAGTGAGACTGGGTCTCAAAAAAAAGAAAAAAAAAAAGGCAGGAAGGTTATGAAATGTGAAGTTTAAACATAATAGTGATCGTATTTTCCTAGTTTTGAATTATCCGCAACTGGACATAACCCCATGTACAAAGTAAAATGCAGATAAACCCAAGCAGCTGCCCCGTTCCAGCACACAGAGGAAACGAAGGACGCAGCCAGGAATCCCTGTGGACCCATCACCTGTCACTCAGGGCACTAAGGGGTGGGGTCTGAGGCCTTATCCAATCAAAAACGCTGAAGGGAGAACTGTCCAATCAGGCGCGGCACAGGGAGCGGGGCGCGGCGGTCCAGGATCTGGCGGGGCCTTTGTGTTTTCCTTGGCTTGGCCGCGGAACTGAGCGCGGCGTCCGCTGTTCTTTCTCCTCAGCCCTGGGAAGCCCAGGTGGCCGGCACAGCCTCGTGACGGAGGTACCGGGAGGTCGGTAGCGAGGATCGCCGAATCAGCAGTGCTAGGGGAGAGATGGTGAGTGGTGAACGCGGCGGTGTCCCCGCCGCGGGAGGGGAGTTGAACGGCCGGAACGGCCGAGGGGACGCGGCCTGGCCGCCGCGGCTGCGGGTCTGTGGACCGAGGTGCGCGCGGCGCGGTCCGGCGCCTCTGCTTCCCCACAGGCCCTGCGCCTTGTTCCGTTCTTCGCGGCCACGTCGCCCGCGGAGCCTGGCCGGGCAGCTCTGGCCCGCAGCCGCGTCTCCGTCGTGTGCGGGCGGGACGCCGGGTCCTCAGGGGAGACCCCACTCGGTGTGCGGTGCTCCCGCGTGTGGGGAGCTGTGCCCGTGGTTCTCTGTCCTCTGTCTCCTGTTGAAAAGTAAACTGCGGCGCGCCATAACGTGGACAGCGACGCAGGAATGGGACTCCACCCGTGGTGTGTGGTTTGGGGCCACCGGAGGGGCTGGAAGGAAAGGCGTTTGCAAGTGCATGGGAAGGGAAGCGAATTAAGTATTGATTGGGTGCACGCATACTGTTCCCTTGTTGGCCCCACCAGATGGATTTCCTGGTTGTCTGTCAGAAACTAATTGCAGGTTTGTCGTTCACCAGATGAATTTGCTTCCCTTAAAGTAGGAATTTGCAAGAAATGCAATGTAGTATTGGATATTTTTTATTTTTTATTTTTTTTATTTTTATTTTTTTTTGAGACAGAGTCTCACTTTGTTGCCCAGGCTAGAGTGAGTGCCGTGGCGTCAGCCTAGCTCACAGCAACCTCAAACTCCTGGGCTCAAGCGATCCTTCTGCCTCAGCCTCCCGAGTAGCTGGGACTACAGGCATGCACCCACCACGCCCAGCTATTTTTTTGTATATATATTAGTTGGCCAATTAATTTGTTTCTATTTATAGTAGAGACGGGGTCTCGCTCTTGCTCAGGTTGGTTTCGAACTCCTGAACTCAAAGGATCCGCCCGCCTCGGCCTCCCAGAGAGCTAGGATTACAGGCGTGAGCCACCGCGCCCGGCCTGGATTTTTTGTTACATAGAAATCCAGGTTACTAGAGCCATTTAAGTCTAATTGCCTTTTATTTAATTATTTTAACACTCCACAGGAGGCCTAGTTTTTCCCTGCATGTTTCAAAGGTATGGCAAGCAGGGTCTCAAATTCACCACCCTGTTGCCCTAGAGTAACTCAGGCTTGTAAAAAAGTATTAAATTTGTTGTTTCATTTGCAATTCCTGAATGCCAACTTCCCCTCTCTGATTCACAACATTATAAACTATGGTTCTTTGTTATACATTTAAGACACAGTATTCATTTATTTATTCATTTACGAATGAATGAATGATAGAGTCCCACTGTGTTGCTGGGCTGTGGCATCAGCCTACCTCACAGCAACCTCAAACTCCTAGGCTCAAGCAATCCTCCTTCCTCAGCATCCCAAGTAGCTGGGACTGCAGGCGTGTGCTACTATGCCTGGCCAATGTTTTCTACGTATATTTTTAGTTGTCCAGCTAATTTCTTTCTAATTTTTTTAGTAGAGACAATGTCTGGCTCTTGGTCAGGCTGGTCTGGAATTCGTGAGCTCAAACCATCTACCCACCTTGGCTTCCCAGAGTGCTAGAATTATAGGTGTGAGCTACCACACCGAGCCAAACCACAGTATTTTTTTTTTTTTAATTTCAGTATATTATGGGAGTACAAATGTTTAGGTGACGATTGTTGCCTTTCCCTATTCCACCCGGGATTCAGTGCTTCAAGTGTGTCCATTTCTCAGATGGTGTGCATCCCACTCATTATGTATGTATGCAGCCATCCCCTCTTTCCCCCTGCCATCTGCCTGACTCCCAATAAATGTTATTCCCACTTGTGCACATAGGTGTTGATCAGTGAAACCAATTTGCTGGTAAGTACATGTGGGGCTTATTTTTCCATTCTTGGGATACTTAGTAGAATGAGTTCCAGCTGTATCCAGGAAAATACAAGAGGTGCTATATCACAGTTGTTTCTTATAGCTGAGTAGTACTCCATGGATACATATACCACATTTTATTAATCCACTTGTGTATTGATGGGCTCTTGGGTTGTTTCCACATCTTTGAAATTGCATGACACGGTATTTAAAAGAACCATTTTTTTCACATAGCAGCGGGTGACACTTTTTTAAAGGTCTGTTTTCTTTTTGTAAATATTTCACATGAGACAATAGCAGAGAATAATCTTCTGACACTGAACTATAAAAATATTTGTGCCTCTTCTTCTTTTATTTCTTTAGGTGCAGACACTTTATCAGAAATTCTTCAGGTTGAGGTTTCACTTTGGAAACTTAAGAGTGATGTGTCTTCAGCCACTCTTCAGTTTTTTTCTTGTCCTGAATAGCAGAATTGTCTGGGGATGATGCAAGATGACGACAGCAGCCATGTGTCTTGGAGTATCTGTTGAGTAGCAGCCCTGGGTTATCTCCTTCCAAGGACAACCTGAGGTATGGGGTGGAGCCTCTCAGGGGGGCAGCTGGATGCCCTGGGCCTGAGGGAAGTCTTCTGGTATACAATTCATCTAAAGAGCAAGCCCCTTGAGATATTAATATATTCTGCTACCACTCTCAATTTCCATTCTTTGTAGATACACTGACAGTGATTCAATTGGGTGGTGATATTAAGGGGAAAAGGCAGAAATGATTCCTGCTCCCTGGGTATGCTCACACTGTTAATGGAGAATATCTGAAACAAAACCTGCAAAGCAAAATGCACTTTAGGCACTTTAGGGTTGTAGTGCAGTGTCCCTTGGGAGAATTGTCATTGAGCACTTTATTGGGTTGGATAAAGGTGAGAGGATGTCCCAAGGGTCTGACTTGACATCTGAGTCAGACATGTCTGTGTTATAGTCAGCACTGACACTCTCTGAATTTCTCACATTACAGCGATTTATTCAGTTCAACTTCAGGCTTTGTTTCTTTTTTGATTTATTAACTGTAAATAGCAATTAGAACTTAAAGATAAAATAATTTCAAAGGGCATGAAAAATGTACATTTAAAAAAATGGATATCTCCTTTTACCTAGATGTCCGAGTTTAATGCTAAGTTTTACCTTATGGGACTTGCTACCTCCTGGAAGTGTTCATATATGATTAATTGTTTACTAAATTATTTCTTTTCTGGAAATAATTGAATGGCCTGGTTTTGTCTGAAAGGTATAACATGCTTTTTCCCGTTGAGATATAAAATATAAGCACCTTATAAGTTTCTTTGCTTCTATAAACAGTTTGTTGGAGTTCTTTTTCTGGATTCTTCAAGCACTGGGTATTTTGTCATTTCAAACTAAGGGAGTGACTGTGACTAGAAAGTAGAAGCCCGAGCCCTGTGTCTCAAGGCCAAGGCAATCTGAAAAAGGAGGTTGTTTAAGGCCCAGATCGTTCTTCCTGGGACCCTTCGTGGCAGGTGCCCCAGGCTGCTCGCACCAGCCATGGAAGGAGCCCTTTCTTCTGAGAGAAGCCACAGAGCCCTGGAAGGGTGAGATCCCATAGGAGATGATGTTGGAGTTGATATGGAATGGGGTTGGGAGACTTTCTTAGCATGGAATAGTTATGACTTCAGGGCTGTTATTAGACTTTGTCAAATAAATTTGCATCTCAATATTTAG